ACCTATTAATAATACTTAGTCGCTAAAATTAGTCTTAAGGATAAGACTAATAAAAGGGGAACCTTATATTATAGCTATAATATAGGCTAAGTAAGGAAAGATAATAGAAATACTTTAACTAAGTAAGGGACTAAAGGGACTAAATATTAGCTATATTAATCTAGAGACTAAACGCTAGAAATATTAGTCTTATCTTAGATTAAACCTAAAGAATATTAGTCTAAAGATTAACTATAAGTATATAAAACGCGCTTATTATACCCTCTTATATAATAGCTACCTTAGCTATTAATATAACTTAGTTATATTTAATACCCTTAAGTATATTACTAGATATAATATTATATTACCCTTTAAGGTTATATAATATTCTCCTTTGCTAATATAAACCTAATATAACCGGTTTATCCCCTTAGGAAATATCCTCTTATTATAATACTATGGTTTTAAAGAGAATGAGGCTGAGGTATAGGGTAATATATAGTTTTAATATAGTTTTTTTTTTAATATAATTAAACTTCTTTTTTACTAATTTTAATATAATATTTAAAGAGTTTTTTTTTAATCTTAATTTTATAATATTATTATTATTATTATAATTTTTTAATATTTTATAAATACTAAGTTACCCTATATATATATATGTTTTCTTTATATTTTTAATTTTTTTTATATATTTTAATATTTAAATATAAATATATATTTACTATTAATATATAATTTTAACTACCCTATAGGTATTTTACTATTATTATTATTTAATTATTTTTATTTAATTTTAATTATTTTTATAAGCCTTAAATACCTTAATATTAATAATATTATTATATTATTAACCTATAGCTCTTAACTTACCCTATAGGTATTTTACTATTATTATTATTATTAAATTATTCTTATTTAATTTAAACTATTTTATATACTTTATTTTACCTTATAGATACCTTAATATTAATAATATTATTATATTATTAACCTGTAGCTCTTAACCTACCCTATAGCTATTTTATTAATATTATTATTATTATATTATTTTTAATTACTTTATATTATCTATTTATAAGCCTTATTTTACCTTATAGATATCTTAATATTAATAATATTATTATATTATTAACTTATAGCTCTTAACCTACCCTATACCTATTTTAATTATAATATTTTTATTATATTATTTATATTTAATTTATCTTATTTATATATAAGGCTTAAATTACCCTATAAGTATTTTAATTATTATTTTTTTTAAATATATTATATAAATTTAATTTATATTAATTATATAAAAGTCTTAACTTACCCTATAGTTATTTTAATTATGATATATTTTTATAATAATATTTTAATATAATTTATAATATAAATATAAAGGTCTTAGCTTACCCTATAGATATTTAAATAATATAATTAATATTATATTATTTTTATTTAACTTATATTATTAATATATAAGTATTAAGATATCTTATAAATACCTTAGTATTATTATTATTATTATATTATTAACTTATAACCCTTAGTTTACCCTATAGGTATTTTAATTATAATATTTTTATTATATTATTTATATTTAAGCTATATAATTTATATATTACCCTTAAGATACCTTATAGGTATTTTAATTATAATAGTTTTATTTTATTATTTTTATTTAATTTATATTATTTATATTAAACTCTTAACTTACCCTATAGGTATTTTAATTATATTATTATTATTATTATATTATTTTAATATAATTTATATTTTAAATAATATAGTCTTACCTTACCCTATAGATATTTTAATAATATTAATAATATTATATTATTTATATTCATATTATATTATTAATTTATAACCCTTAATATAGCTTATAAATATTATAAAAATATTATTAATATTACAATATTTATATTTAAATTATATTATTATTTTATAACCCTTAAGGTACCCTATAGGTATTTTAATAATTAAATTATTATTATATATTTGTTTTTTATTTAAATTAATATTATAATAATCTTAAGTTACCATATATATATATTTTAATAATAAAACTATTATTATAGATTTTTTATTAATTATTATTACTATTATATAAGCTATAATATAACCTATAGGTATTTAAATATTATTATTATTATTATTATTCATCTTATTATTCTCTTAGTTTTTTCCTTAGTTAATTAACTAACTAAAAACTAACTAAGAATAACTTAGTTTTTTTTAGTTTTAGTTTCTAATTTCGCTTAGTAATCTTAGTTTTAGTTTTTAATAATTAACTAATAGTTTTTTAACTAAGGAGTTAAAAAACTATTAGTTAAATAACTATTAGTTAAAAAACTTTTAGTTAAAACTAACAATTAGTTACTAATTTGCAACCCTGTGAGGATAGGATGCTGAACACTTGGAGAAATTGGCCTTCAAGCAGGCCTGTCACTGCATATACATCAGATTGGACCAGTCAGTAAAGTGAAATTGTGGGGCTTCGGGTGATTATGGAAGAACCGTACGAAACGAAAATAGCTTAGCGCAAAGGCCCTCTGGGGTGTGTCCCCCCGGGCGAAATAAAATCCATCCATCCATCCATCCATGAGTTCAGACTTCGGAGTGTTCGATAAGAAGCTGATGAGTGAATGGCCTTCGTATCATGCTCTGGTATGTCGCAGAACCACGTCATCCGCTAAGCCTGTCACCGTTGACCTTGCCTATGGCGCTCTGAATTTCCATCTGCCCCTGTTTCCTCAGGCTTCATTGTGCTGTAAACGGTGCTGATACCTTCGCAGGAGCTCCTTGCTATAATCATTACCATTGGGCGTTCTCACTAGCGTATGGATATAAAACGGGAGTAGAAGCGCATTATTTAGAAACACCCCAGAATAGTGATCGAATTCGAGCATAATAACAGGGGAATACACCTTAAAGTAGAAGCCGTCTTCTCTCTTAAACGCGCCAATCCAGCAGAAGTATGTCTCATGCCAGTATTTATCGACTTCTGCCATCTTCGAAGCAAGTGCTCCAGTTAGCAAATAATTGATGCTTAGCAAGACAAGTCTGCGAACTAGACTCTGTTGGTCCTGTGAGAACGTAGTGACCAGTACACCTTCGTAGGGAATAACCCGGTTATCCTAGAAGGCTCCCCCTAGGTATCGCTGATCTACACGGTGGTGTCGCCCTTCAGGATACTCTGGACCCTATAGCTCTTTGTATATACGAAACTTTTCGCGCGTTTCCAGGTCAAAAGAATTTATCAGCTAGAGAGCAGTCTGCTCCCTATTTGTAAAGAGCTCTGCGCCTTTATATAGGCCTTCATCAATGACATTGGGCTCGGCACCCATAAACACTAGAGTCATCACCATTTATGTTCCGACCACCATACAATTCATATCGAAATAGTAACCAAAAATCTGCCAGCCCCATGGGCTAGATTCTGAAGGTATGCCGAAGATTGTGATATTATAAGACTTTTCGTTAAGAACCTTCCGCCCATTTACAACCTCGCCGAGAAAGTAGTTAACTCGCATGCAGCCCACTGCTTGAATATAGCCTTCTTCAGACAAACTCGCTCGCACAAGTTCGAGTGCGGCATCGAAAACCTCGTTTAATGCCTCCTCTAGTCGCACACCATGCCGAGATATATAAATCTCTGGATTCATCCAGGCCCGCCATTCGTTTGCATCAATGTCTTTGCTGATCGCCTGTCTTTGCTCCAAAGTTGCCACAGAGAGCAGATTCTATGCTGCTTTCACCATGGCAGCGACAGGAGCTCCGTGGTTGTCTCCGTTGTCTGCAAGCTAGAACAGATCAGGAACTACACGGCCATCGGTCGTGATCCCTTTATACGGCCGTTCATATAGCTCATTCCACAGCTTTCTCCACCCAATCATAAACGGCTCACTACAGCGTGAAGCGGCCCATTCATAAGTGTCCGACCTTGCAAGCTCAACACTTCTTGCGGCGTTCTGCGATGGTATGAAATCCCGCCAATTCGATGACTTTGATGTTCTTTTGAGGTTCTCTTCCATCTTTGACGAAGTTGCAATTGCGTTGTGACTTTGTTTTGTTCAACTGTGGATGACCTGACTGTTAGTCGAGAATGTCGAGCTACCTTTACACAGTTATACCGATTTGGACACAAATCCATCGGAGCACCTGCGACGGTAAGTTGATTTGTCCGACTTAGCCTCAGCTTGTCCCGGATTTGCCGTTACAACAGCTGACTGGGATCGGGGTGGCGAGGTGAAAAGCCTCTGTGGGGCATCCCATAACCAATTGAGATCCAATGTTCCATCAGGTGATCTACTCGGTGGAAATCTATCGCCCTCCCTACTAGCGGGGATATTCTAGCCCGGCCCTGGGACATCGGCACTCCCCAACGAAACCCCCGCTCGCTGGACAAGGATCGGACACCGAATTCCAACGAAACCCCCGCTCGCGGGACAAGGATCGGACACCGAATTCCAACGAAAAATTGTCCACAGAAAGTTTCCCAGAATGGAGATACAGCATCACTCGGGCGCCATGTGTCCAGACCATGTTTGGTTACTGCTATGACACATTCTGGACCTCCATCGCTACCTCCCGTAGACGAAGCTTAAGCATATCAACCATGCCCCGCGTAACAACTCAATGCTTCTTCACTGCATCAATGATTCTGATAGACGTGACAAGACGATGGTTAACAATTGCTAGAGGCGGCTTTTTGCATGGCACAAATGGCAGAATACTACGGGCACACTGGTCCTGTTCACAAGCCGGTCCAATCGGTTTGTTAGCATATAGTGAGATGACCCTTTGGAGCTTTACTACATGGCCCAAGAATCAAAATTTACAAGTGGCAGAGAATCATACAGAGCGGTGAGTTTGCTCGAAAGCTATGTGACATGTCTCCCAGCGTTCCAAAGTCATAGCGAAAAAGACCGTGATGTGAGGAATGTAACCTGGGTGTCAACGGAGAAGGATACTAGTCATATACAGGACGACAAGATTTCCTACAGAAACTCTTCGACTGCGTGTGCAAGTCAGCATGACAGCCTCGTGTCGTGACTTGAAAATATGAGAAATCTGTGAGGAAAAAGCCACACACGGGACCATTGACATTGGCGCAAGGCAAGGGTACAGTGTTGACGTAACGAGTCTTGTGTGAAAGCACCAAACGTGAGAAGACGTCTAGAAGAACAAATATTGAGCATGCTTGAGAACTTCTGGGGGAGTGGTAAGCGACAAGGAAAGAACCATAGAACGTGATCTCTCTGCAGGACGAGCTAATCAATCCTGAATCCATGTACCCTGTTGTTTGCTGTAAAGTCTTCGCAGGAAGCAGCCTATTCGTAGTTCGTGGCAAACAATGGGTCATTGTGAATGCTCATTCTTGAAAAAGTAGTTTACATGATTGGTATGGCCAGATTGGTGCTTGGACGCGGGAAATCTCCAAGTTTTTCTCTCACGCCTTCACGCGAGGATCGTTCCAGTATACCATCTTCCCTGCAGCATCCTTTGGGATACCATGAAGTGCCAGCTTGACAAAAGTGCTAGCAGGCAGGTCAGGGGAAAGGAGCTCTCCCTTTGCATGCAGATCTGCCAACCATTTGTATTGGTCTTCTGGCATGGTTTGTTGATCTGGAGCAAAAAACAGAATCAGTCATTCATGCATCCACTAGAAAGCACCAGTCCACACTTACGTTCATCGCGAACCGCCTTCTGTATCCCAGTGTCTACAATGCCGGGAGCGAGACACACGGTGGTCACATCCGGCTCTTCCAAGGGTATCGACGCAGCCAAATAGTTCATTGCCGCCTTTGAACAAGCGTACGCAACCCACGCCGTGGAGGGTTCATCGGTGACACCAGATGATGTCATAATAATTTTGCCGTGGTTGCGTCGCAGCTCCGGAAGGGCGAGCTGAATCTACATGCCAAAACGAAGGTAAGCTTGATTTCCCCGAGAGACATCCTCGACATGAGACAATGCCACTGACCGTGTGAAAGAGCGCAAAGAAATTGACATCAAAAAGTTTCTTCATCTCGTCAACGCTGATATCAGCGACAAGACCGACCGGCCTGAGAACGCCTGCATTCAAAACTAGCGCGTCCAGGCGACCGGAGCGTTCCTTAGCTAAGGCGACAGTTTTTTCACTTGTAGATCGTTGCGAGATATCGCCAGTGACATGGTCGAACTTGTCGGGCGGAGAGGATTTCAGAAGCCTTAATTGTTCATCTGCCAAGTCCACGCCGATAATGAGGGTGCCAGGGCCAGACTGGCTCAGCAGTTGCTTGACAATGCTGAGACCAATTCCTCGATTGGCGCCCGTGACCACACTGAGAGTAGAACAGATTACTCTCAATTCCACAAAAAAGGACTGATACTCACATTGTTTGAGCATCACCTGATTGTGAAGACATGTTTACCGCTGCTTCTCGACTAGAAATGGGCTGTGTTACCAAAGATGTACGAAGCGCGTCTTAATGGTGCAGCTCAAACGATGATAGTAGCGTGACTGTGTATGGGACGTGGTGTCAAGTGCACTGTGATTATCAGGAGGACATGCGTCAGACTATATTATTCAAGAGGCGACTTCGGCGCCTGGCCCCAGAAGAAGGCTTGCACAAGGTTCCTCGTGATCACAGCATTCTGGCTCCCCCACATTGCGGTGTTCGGGTCCGGGGTCCGATGGCGACCTGTGCCCCACCACAGGGCCCCCCGAGTGGCTTGCCCGACTCCGTGAGGCTCTGGGGTATGGTGCTTAGCACGGGCCTAATGCAAAAGTTTCGAGTTGGTAAGAGTGGAAAGAATTGCTGGCTCTGCCTTGAAAACTTCATCGGTGCCGACTTTGAAATGCGTCGATGGAATACACATTTTGGTTCCACCGCACACTGGCACCATTGTCGCAAAGATGGTCCTACCTGTCGTCGAGCACGGTGAGCTTAGAATCCCAGATGCATTAGCCACTTCCAATGGCGCTGGTACGGGCTATCGACTGGGTCACACCATGCTGCGTATCACAGACCCGGAGCAATCTCTGAAATTTTATTCCGAACTTCTGGGCATGTCTCTCTTCTTTCAGTGGAATACTGGTCCCATGACTGTGTATTATCTTGGTTACGCAACGCCTGAAGACAAAACTCCATCGGACATTTTTGGCTCCATGAGTTCAAGATCAGGCTTGCTGGAGCTGGTTCACGTCCATGGCAACCAGGAAAAGTCAAGCGAAGGTGCCTCGTCTTCTCCTGTCTATGATCCAGCAGTGAGGTCCGTAAAGGCGTCAGGCTTCGGTCATCTTGGATTCCTAGTCCCCAGCCCGAGGAGTGCTCTGGAGCGAGCACAGAAACTGGGGTACGTCGTACTGAAAACACCCGAGGACACCTCCGCCGTGGCACTGGATTTACCAAGCGACACCTCTGAAGATGCGTTCGACAAGCACTTCCTATCTGCCTATACTCAGATTGGGTTTCTTCGCGATCCTGACGGGTAGGTCTTACGCATGGTTATAGCAAGAGATTACTTACCAAGTTTTTCCCAGTCACACGATAGAACTCTTGCCACTGGAATTAAAAAGCTAGAGAGAGCAAGGTATGAGACTTGCTTATGATCAGGTTCGACGGCGGCTGGTTGGCCTTGAGCACAAACGCTTTTCAGCACACAGTTGTAAAACATTTTACTCCATCAAGTAAACGAAAGTTCACACATTTCACTTTGAAATCTTGCGTGCCGTCTTATAAATACACGTAGGAACACTGTCAATTGGCCTCATCGAGGTTGAACTATGTACAAGAGACCTGTTACAGGTGTTTGGAAAGCACTGTTCTAGGCACGAACTCAGCCTTGTGAGCTCTGCTATTGCAGTACGTAAGATGCTCAGTCCTGTGATTGTTGTGGACAGTCTGGAGTCGCAAATTGCGCCTGCTGGAAGCAATAAACCGGTGTGTAGGTCTACCACAAAGAGTCTGCTGGCAAGCGACAGGCGACGACATTGTCGAGTTGGCAAAAATTCAAGGGAGCAGTGCAAGTGCATTAGACTGCACAACTTAAGGTAGCGCATCAATTTGTGCACCGGGTCTAGCTGTGTACTGTGAGTTTGCGTGCCGAGAGTCAAGTTGGAAAGGCTTCCAGTAGAAAGGAAAATGAGTTCAGCGAGCCCAACCATGAACTGTGTGGCAAGAACCGGATTCTAGCCACATCGGAAACCCGGGTTCCGCGTAACTCGGATTGCATGTATCGATGCCGAATCAGCTGAGCTTCGGTCGGAGTCTGTGGTGCAACTATCGGACCCAGCAACTGGCGACGCCAAAACCCCGATGAACACAGCGCGGGGCCCCGCTCCCCAGGTGCCCTGGAGCACTCGCCGGGTCCGAACGACCACATTCCACCACAGGTTGCCACTGGCTGAAGTTGGGGGAGTTGTCGCGCCTTAAAACTGCCACACGCTGTCAGCATCCACACATCCCACAACTCCTTCACAATCACAATCATGCATCTCAACGAGGAAGAACGACCTCTTTTGAGCGGTGGCAATTCCAGCCTCACCCAATACGTGCCATTGGCGAAATCCTTTGATGCTGGCACGGTAGGCCCAGCTGACTATGGCGCGGTTTCCGGATACAAGGCCAACGAGATTGAGGAGGCGAGCGGTGCGACAGGCAGTGAAAACGTTCCCCAGTCCCGCAGGAAGAGAGTCATTATTGTTGGTGCCGGAGTGTCTGGTATTCAGCAAGCTGCCATCATCCTCAAGGACGGCGAGGTGAAACGCGACGATTTGCAGATATTCGACGCTCTCGACGACTTCGGTGGCACATGGCTGAAAAACAGCTATCCAGGTTGTGCGTGTGACGCTCCCGCAATGGTTTATACAACATCGTTTGAAATCAACAAAGGTATGTTTACCCATCTATTTTCCTGCAGAGCCAACGGAGAAAAGAATTGACTTGATTAGAATACACGCACTACTTCGCTACACGAGAAGAGATCCAGGACTACTACAAAAGGTTTGCGGACAAGTACGAACTCAAACGAAGTACACAGTTCGGCAAGTTCGTGAAGACTTGTACTTGGAGTGATGAAGACATGATCTGGAATGTAGGAGTCCAGGATAAGGTTACTGGAATCTTGGAACACTGGATCGCTGATGTGGTCATCCAATGCGTTGGCGCCCTTGATCGCCCAAAATTTGGCAATACGCCCGGTCGCTCGAACTACAAAGGCACCTCCTGGCACACAGCACATTGGAGGTTCGACTATGATCTCACAGGCAAGAATGTTGCCGTGGTTGGCTGCGGACCCAGTGCCGCCCAGATCATTCCAGAGATCGTGGACAAGACCAAGAGCCTGTCGGTCTACATGCGGACACCACCAGTCTGCACGGCTCGTGGCGATTTTGCGTATTCTCGGTATGGAACCTACAAGATCCGATTCGCTCTGAGCTAACCACTCCTTAGGCTATTCCGATGGGCCTTGAAATGGGTTCCACTGTTTGCCTGGTTGCAGCGCTTTTGGGAGTGCAACGAAATGGGAGCTTCAGTGGCTATGTCTACCGATAACGATCCGTTGAATGACTCGATGACGAAGGCAGCCATTGATTATATGGAGTCCGAGATCAAGGACCCAAAACTTCGCGAAATTTTGAGACCGCATTCGAAGTGTCAGTGTTCCTCCAAAAGACTGTCTTCGTGGCTGAAAGCTTACTTTTGGTAGACTTCTGCAAACGCCCCCTTCGTCTTGACAACTTTTACTCCAGCCTTGCGAAACCACACGTCACCACCTTGAGAGACAACTTAATCCGCTATACCGAGGAAGGTATCGTCTCTGCGGATTGTAAAACCGGTGTTGAGACAGAACGCAAGTTCGATGTGATTATTTACGGAACCGGCTTCAATACGTCCAAGCATCTCGAACATGAACGTATAACTGGCATTAATGGCCAGGACCTGCAAAAGAAGTGGGAGGAGCACCCAGAGGCTCTGTATGGACTGGCAACCAACGGCTTCCCCAATATGTTCATGTGCTTCGGACCCAACTCGGCCACTCTTTGGTCCTCTCAGCAGGACAACTGGGAACAGCAAGCAAGATTCAATTCCAAGGTGGTCGCAGAAATGGCACGTCGAGAGCGGAAAGGCCGAAAGCTGGCTATTCATCCAGCACGTGATGTCGAGCATGCTTACAATCTTGAGTTGCAGAAGAGGCAGAATGGTGTCTTCGTTTGGGCTCGCCGTGACTGTGTCACCTACTACAAAAACGACGCTGGCTGGATTACCTACACGATGCCCTGGACTGGATGGCAATTTAAGAACATGCTCCGCAAAATTCGATGGCACGAATGGATCTCTATAGAGAAGCCTCTCGTCACGAACAGGTTTGTTCCTGCTACGATGTTTGGGTCATAAGCTTGATATTTTGTGTATCCCTACTATTGGTATTGGTATCATAGTTTTGAGAGCAAAATGCGCGCACCAATGGAATTATCATGATTTCAAATAGGAGCTCAGTGACCTGTTACCGACTTTGTTTCATTTGAGAAGATCGAAACGCAGTGCCTGTACTCCGTAGTCAATCCCAGCAAGAAATGCAACAAAATAACTTTAGGTAGGATCCGGCGTCTGTAGCACCGGAGCACCGAGGCAAGATGGAACGGCTCTAAACTTCGCATCATTCGCAACATCGTATCAAAACACAGCTGCTTCTGCGCAGTCCGCTTGCACAAAGCAGTATCTGGAGTTCACTTGTGTTGGATGAAAGCAGAGGTTTCGCAACTATTCAGAAAATCAGATGTTGCCTGAATATAGTTACCCGGCCTTTTAGAAATGCCTACGAAACAGCTCTGCATATTGGGATCAATACGAAGGGAGTTAGAGATACTATGGTCAAAATATAATACAATTAGTTAGATACTTATTAATAGTCTAATCTTATATCTTATAGTCCCCCCTTAAACTAAAGTTATAAATTGCCTTTAGTTACAAAAGGGGACTTTATTTCTTACTATATTTAGGTATAGCTTATTATATTTACCTAATATTAACCTTCTAATAATCTAATTACTTTCCTAGGATAAGTTTTTAAGAATCTCCCCTCTAGTTTAATTCTCTTCTTAGATATTATTTTACTCTATCTTGTCTCGCTTATACTTAGTATCTTTTAAACTTTTTAACGTTATTTACTTTTATTTATTCTATTATACTTTAATATTTCATGATATTTATTTATTATCTAGTCCTCGTCGATATCACTCTGTTCCCTCTCCTCCGACACGTCGCCCTTCGGGCTCCGTAAGTTTAGAAAAGGAATGGATATTCCCACTGCGTGGAGCTCAGGTTCTTCACTTAAATATAAGCTTACTGACTTTTAACTACCACTTATCTTATTATATAAGGATCTCACGATGCATATTCACTTCCACCTGCGCCTTCGGCTTGGTGTTTTTATAATTACTTTTATATTTCACTTTCATACTTAATTAAACAAATACTAATTTAATGCTCGTATATTAAAACTTAGAAGCTCACCCATTGATCTGGGTTTGGTTATGCTAGGGCTCGCTTCATTGCTAACTTATGCTCGCGTGAGTCTGTAAATATACATGATACTACTAACTATACTTTCTACTATAGAAACAAGTAATATCAGAGACAATAACTGATCAAAGTCTGCTTTGTCTAAGAAAATAGATTGATAGCACGCATTATCTAATCACCCGGAGGACCATCGCCCTCCTTACATACGTCACTCGGCGCACCATCCACGATGAATGCCATATCCCTTAGATAAAGTGCCGAAAGAAAGGCACGGAATAAGATAGCCTTATTTATTGAAATACTCCGCTCTGCTAATTGCCGTAACCGTAATGGAATATCCTCCTGGTTGCGTACCTCTCCTAGCACACTCAACCTTCGCGGATCCCCCCGTTCATACTCACAATTGACTCCGTCACATAACCTCTTCGACAAAATGCAAAGAAAAGAGTCGCGCTCCAGCACGATTAAAGAAGATGTCACATCGTGGTCAATACCACTCTGTTATTGTTCCGTCGCCTTCGTCTGTCTCTCCATAGAACTCCAGTCCCAAAGGACATAGGGTAGTCCGAACCTCGTACATATATCCCAAAGGATCGTCGTAGACACTGCATCAAAAGAAAAGCTCGTCTCCGCCTGCGCATAAGGAATATCCTTACTGATGAAAACATACTTGAGGTTATTTACATTTAAGATTAATTACATGCGAGCATAATATAAGTGCGGGAGCTCACTATCTTGGGGTTTTCTTAGTGCTTATTGTTCGCTCCCTACCTACTTCCTGCTCGCTCATCACGTTAAGTCTGTATAATTTGTGATTACAGGGAGTTGTTTACAGCAGAAATTGATTCTGTCAATCTATTGAGATTTCATGCTACGGGCCATTTGTAGCCGGAGCCAGAGGTACAAATTGTTGGTTGGTTTCCACAGTCCACTGAGGCAAGTGATAACCTGGAGGTGCCGCGCCAATTGGAAAATCGAGGTGCTTGTGGCCCAATTTGAAAGGCGGGCGTACAACATCAATCGGCCCCAGGCCCCAGGGAGCTCCGTCAATGGTCTGGAAATACTCTTCCTTCACAGCTGTCTCGTATTTGCGATCGGCGACGAATGCCTTGATAGCATATCGTTTGATGTTTGTGGAGACGACTTCATCATAGTGTCGTTTGGTTCCCATCAGTTCGGCGTTGCGCTTCTTCAAGCGCTCTTGTTGCTCCTCGGTATACATGCCATAGTTGAGTAGGTAGAGATCGGCTACAAGCAATGAACACTGTACAACGTATGAGCCACCGTGCTTATGGCGCAAGTAAAGAGCCTGCAAAGCACCTGCGGCTCCACCGTGGCCAGCCCTGCACACATCGCGTTAGCAAACTCCTCTGCTCGAAATCGAAGAGAGAATGTTCTTACAGGTAGTCGGCATTGGGTCCTGGGAATGGATGTGCCTCATCAAAACCGTGGAATCGTGCGAGGTTACGGCCAATTCCAGATACCTGATTGTGTCAGTTCCCGCATGCCGACGTTCCATGTTTGGCGAAACACCAGAGGCAGTTTTGGACTTACGGTATCCGCAATCTGTGCCCAGCCGGGGCGAATGACCCACGGTCCCTTCCATCCATAGCAATTTTCCTGTACGTAAATGATGCCTCTGGATCTCTTAGCACAGAGTCCAAGAACCGCATCACGTCCAAATCCGAGATGTTCCAGGACGGATGGACGATAGCCATCAACGAAAATATCCGCGTCTTTGATAAGCTCCATGAGTTTTTTCCGTCCTTCGAATGTCTTCAGGTTGAGATCTACGCTGATCTTGGCTGTACATCCATCGATCAATGTTAACGGCAACTCTGTGTTGACTTCAGAGCTGACTCTGATGACTGTCGCACCAAGAGCCGCGCATACCCTACTGATGGTGGGTGCAGCGATGGCTCGAGACAGATCTGGAATTTTGATACCAGCCAAGGGCCGACGGTCGTTGGGATCAGTCTTGGGCCACGCCACGGGCGACTGCGAGAAGTACTCCTGCTTGATCACCTTGTACCAGGGTTCGTCCTTTAGAGCTATGCCCTGCGCTACGTTTAGTTTTCCGTCCAAGTTTAGGGGGTGGTGGAAAGATACCCACATGAGGGTGGGCTGCAAACTCCTCAACTTCGTAACAAATTGAGCCTGGCGTTCGGTAGACGTTGTTGCTCCAGTCATCAAGGAGCTCAGAGTCCCAATTCTTGATGACATCCTGATAGACTTTCACTATACCCATGAAATCCATGTTTTTGTCGTCATGCTGTGGTAGGTCGAGCATTTTAAGCAACGCCGTTGGGTCCATGCTTCCGTGAAGCTGGTACCATCGACCGTCCTTTGTTTGGTAAACGTTTGTGCCTAGTTGTCGGTACATTTCACGCGTCATTCCGTGATCCCATCGTTGTACCGCAGCGTCTTGGGCCTTGTCGCCAGATAACCAACCCCCGCCGTGGCGGAAAAAGAGCGCCCCAAGACCTCCAAGCATCGCATGATTGCTGTGGGATGACAAGTTGATTAGAACACTGGTTTGCCTGGCATTCACTCATTTAAGGCGGGAACGTACACATCTACCTCAACATCCTGTTCAACTCCAGATCGAGCCTTGCCAATCGCGTTCGCAAGGAGGCCAACTATGCCAATGATACCAGCTTGCGTCTCTGCTACTTTGTAAGGAACCGGGAAAAAAGGCTGCGTCTCATCGCCTGTAAATTTGACGGTGTGGGCCAATGCTTTGATTTCGTCAGGTAGATCAAGGCCTTTGTCGTTGACCAAAGACTCAAAAATCCGTTGCGATTCGTTCTGCAAGGTATACTCTTTGTTGGAGGAAGCCATTTTTGTACGATTTGCAGTAAGTGTCTCAGCGAAGAAGTGTAACCCAAAAAGAATCCATCGTGACTGCTTCAAATACAACGACTGTGTGCTTTTCATCCATTGCTATGTTTCCCCGCGCTATCCCCTCACACCCCCGGGGATTCTATTGTGTCTCGGAAATCGGGAACAAGCGGAGCACTGCGGAAGGTACGGGTGGCTTTCTGCTGTCCGAACAAGGCCCTGCCAGAACCCGACCTCGGGATACCCTAGCCTCGGCTTCGGAGCACGGGATGTCGGGTGGCTAATCCATGGGGCCGGCACTCTTCCTTCCGCGTAATAGTTAGCCCGGCACCTTCCTGTAACAAGCCCGCAGGTTCCACATAAATTGACTTGGTGGCATTGTAGCACCCCTTGTGGAGGACCTATTCAGTTTCCTAGAGATAGTGCTTTTCGAATCCTCGGTTTTCTTGTGGAAGAACTATGGCTTGGTCGAGACTCATTCGGTTTGTTGACGAATCAGGAAGGATTACGTTTGGAGATCCTTGCATCAACAACAGCAATGAATTGAAAGAGCTCCTAGATTCACAGGAGCTTTATGCTGTCAGATTGGCAGGGGGGGACCCTTTTTCACTAACCCGAACTGAAGAGAAGGTCAAAGTACAGAAGCTCCTTGGAGTACTCAATGCGGGTGATGTGCCGATCTTCAAATGTATTGGGTAAGCTACCATGATCCTGATCGGGAGCAGGACGTACTAATCGATTCCAGACTCAATTATAGAAAGCACAGTACGCATTTTCAGGGTTAAACAGGTCTAGGAGACTGATGTCGGTGTCCCAGTTGCCGAAACCGGCCGTACGCCTCCGCCGTATCCATCACTATTCATGAAGCCAGGGGCAGCCATAGCAGCATTTGACGAAGACATCTGCGTGCATCCAATTGCGCAGGGGAAGAGTCTTGATTATGAAGGGGAGCTCGCTGTCGTGATTGGCAGAGCAGGAAAGAACATTTCGAAGGAGGAGGCAATCTCATATGTTGCTGGATATGCATCGTCTAACGATGTATCTGCAAGGACATGGCAAAGAGATCCCGCCCATGCCGGATCGATACCACAATGGTCATATGCCAAGTCATTTGATACCTTCGCACCACTCGGCCCAATGCTAGTTTCACCTGCGCTCGTGGGAGCTGCGGACAGTCTCAGACTACAGACCTTTGTCAATGGTGAGCTTCGCCAGGATAGCAACACGGACGACTTGCTTTTCAACGTGGCCACCATCATTTCTTTTCTCAGCCAGGGTTCGACTTTACAAAAAGGTACAGTTATCATGACGGGGACGCCGGATGGAGTCGTCTTAGGTATGCCAGATCCAAAGCCATGGCTTAAGGACGGTGATGTTGTCGAAGTCAGGATCGAACAATTGGGAAGTTGCGTCAACAAGGTGGTCAATGAGGTATCGAGAACTTAACAACTGTGATCGTTAGCAGGAGGTCTGAACAAGGCCCCCCTCAATTTGGTCAAATTGGTGGACATAGACTAGAAAGGCTTCTACACGGTTAAGGAGGCCACACGCCGCCGAATCTTTTCAACAAGAAGGCTGCTACCAATGCAAAAAATTCTCTGGGCTCTCAACGCAGAAGGCGTACATGCTTGACCTGTGGAACATCGCTGCAGGCTGAGGATGGTGGCCATGGACTGGCAACGCAGCTCGTAGAGAGTTTAACTTGGCTATTTAAGACTCTTAACCAGATCATGCTGCTAAATCCGAGTACCGGCTCTTCTGTTCACCTTCTTCTGCCTTGTTTACAAGATTCAAAAGTCTGCCAGTCACGGCTACAAACAGCAGCAATAAAAAGTTGCGGTATGCTGTGATACTGCACCAGCAGGGAAACACCTTACACTACAGTAAAGCTCAACTGGACACCGTTACGATTACTTGCTCTTCGATTTTGCAGCTCGGCTTGTTTCTCGAATTGCCGTGGTGTCCATTCTCGGAGATCATGTCCCCGCATGAAAATATGCGTCGTTCTGCATCCACTCCGAACACTGCCTGACTCCGTCCACTCCGAACACTGCCTGACTCCGTCCACTCCGAACACTGCCTGACTCCGTCCACTCCGAACACTGCCTAACTCCGTCTACTCCGAATACTACCTAACTCCGTCGCTGGTTTTAATACGCCTCCGAAGCATAAAGTATTTAAGGTAAGTTAATTATTTTTATCCTCTGTATTCTTATAATACCTATATATTAAGAGATCTAAAACGTAGTATCTAGATCTAAAGATAATAAATTAAAATAAAGATAAATTTATATCTAAATAGGATAAGACTTATATTTTAATTAACTTAAAGTAAGGTACTTAAATATATAGTAAAGGAAATTTCCTTAGCTTTTATTCTAATCTAATATTAGAATATCCCGAATTAAAATATATTATATATACTTTAATTATTTATTAAGTCTTCTTCTTATTAGTGATTTTTATCCCTTAATTAAGTATTAATCTAAATAAAAGGTAGCTATATACTATGCGGTTAGCTATATTAATATTATTAGGTATTTCTTTAATAATTTTATAATAAACTTAATATTAAAAGAATCTAAATAGATCTTTTTACGCCTAAAGGAAATAATTACTATTATATTCCCTTATCTCGGTATACTAATATATATTCTGGCTTATTATAATATAATTAGTATTATATAATAGAAAGGTAAAGTATATAGTTTAATAGAAATACTTTAAAAGCCTATAATTATAGAGGAAGATATATAAAAAAGATCTAAACTTTAAGTAAAAATTTATAAAGAAATAAATAACTCTAATATATTTACTCTTATAGATATATATTTTATAGATTTATATAAGGGTTTTTATTTATAAATTATCTAAGATTAAATAATATCTAATAATATATTTAATTATAATTTTAATTATTATAATATAGGGATATCTTATCGCAAAGTTTAATAAGGAGGTTTTTAAATAAGAGGAGTTATACCTAATTATTGCGATAGCTATATTAGCTTTAAGAGCTATATATTAAATAAAGAATTATCTTAAAGCTACTATAGGTATTAGAAATATTATTATAACTATTAAAGCTATTATTAATATAATTACTAAGATTATAGAATAAGTAGATTATTTACTAATTAGACCTTTTAATATTAATTAGCTAATAAATAAAATTAAGTAAAACTTAAAGATATAGCCTAAAAATTAGAAATATTTTAGCTAAGGTAATATTTAATAAAGGGTACTTTATTATTACTTATATCTTAGACTAAATTACCTTACCTTATAAAATATTTACCTTAATTATTTATTAAAGCTTATAATTCTATTTAGATATAAACCGCAGTAATAATAAGTATAAATATAAGATTATCCTATATTATAGCTTTTTTCCCTTTTACTTCGCATTATATACTATGCGGCATAATAGAACTTAAGTTTAAATACTCTAAACCTTTAGATATTCGCAGACTATATAGAAAGCCGATTTTTTTTTCGCTATTAGGCCCGATATTATAGCTTTAAATCCGAGGGCTAAGGCCAGGGGTCAGAAATAACTATCCTTAATCTTAGCCGGAGCAAAGAATAATATCTTAATCTAACCCCGATTAAAGGGATTTATATTTATAAAAAGTAAAAGAGCTTTAGAACCCTATATTAGCTATTCGAGAGATAAAAAGTAACCTATATTATAATAAGTAATATAAGTACCTATTCTAGCTAGTCTTTAGATTATTATTAAAGTAAAGTACCGGTACCTAATAAGTCGACGAGGATATTAGATTCTATATATAGAGATAGAATCTATTAATAAGTACCTAGAAAGTTATTAATTATATAATATAATTAAATCTATTACCTCGCTAGATATCTATATCTTAAAATCTCTTATAGAAGCCTTAGGTATTCTCTTAATCCTATTAGATAGGTTTAGCTTAGCTAAATATAATTTTATCCTTATAGATAAGTTTATAGAGGTAAGATAATATATCCTAATTCTAGACTACTATAAAGGGGATCCTATCTTAATTAAAGTATTTTAATATAACCTATACCTCTTAATTAATAAGTATAATTAGCTAGAGGAAAAAAAAGATTAGCTTAAAAATCTTAATCTAATATAATAGACCTTATAATATTCTATAAATTATATTAATAATTTACTCTATAGCTTTATCCCCGCGGTATATAAAGTATATCTAGGTAAGAATATTTTTGCTATAGGCTATTATTATAGAGGAAAGTTTATAATTTAATTATTATCTTAGGCTATAAAAGCTATTTTAGCTTTTTATCCTATAAGATTAATAACTATTATTTATTACCCTATTTATATATCTAAATCTCTAATATAATTAAATTAGTCTATAATTATTAAAATAGATATATATAAACCTTTAGCGCCCTTATATATTAGATATA